AGTTAAAGGTTAGAACACCCAAATGCATCATCCCATCAAACACAACTAATGGATGTTGTAATAGGCCAGATATAACCTTTACAGTATTCAAATTATCAAGATACATAAGTAAACCAAGTCATTAACGTTGGAAAGCTATTAGAAGAATTCTTAGTTATCTTAAAAAGACAAAAGAGCTTGGTTTGATTTATTTAGATTATCCAATGATCTTAGAATGATACGCTGATGCAAGTTGGGTCACTAATAAGAGTGATAACAAATCTACTTTGGGTTGGATCTTTACACTTGAAGGAAGTGCAATAAGTTGAGCATCAAAGAAACAAACATGCATCTCACAAACAAACATGCATCTCATATTCTACAATGGAATTTGAGTTTATTGCTTTAGCAGCAGCAGGTAAAGAAGCAGAATGGTTGGGAAATTTATTGCTTGATATAAAGTTGTGACCACAACCTATGCTAGCCATTTCCTTGCATTGTGATAGTGAGGCTACAATGTCTAGAGCATATAGCAATATTTATAATAAGAAATCTAGACATATTAGTCTCAGATAGACTTATATTTGAGAGTTGATCACTAGTGGAGTTATAACAATAATCTATGTAAGGTCTGCAGACAATCTAGCTTATCCTCTCACAAAAGCATTATCATGAGATGTGGTGGAAAGAATGTCATTAGGAATGGGGCTTAAATATTTAAATTAGGCATTGGTAATGGGAACCCAACTTTTATTTAGTCATTTCTAAATTTAAAGTTTAATGGGTAAAAACAAGTTACTATATATGCCTATTTAGCACTTGAAACATATTCCTACTTTAGTAAGTGTTGACTGTTGCGTTTTGGAGGATGAGTGTAAACTCTTAATGGAGTTGATCATTTCTAAGTGTCTATAGCAACAGAGACATAAAGAACTCCACCTAAATGGTCATAGAAGTGGTGCTGCTTCAACAAGAAGATGTTGGATTCTCTTGTAAATGACCATTACTAGCAGGATGAGCACATAGCCATAATAGTGCTAAAAGGTTTTAAACCTCTTGGATTAGGTAGACAAGTCTTATATGTGTCACACACTTATGTCTAATATAAGTAGTTATGGTTTAATCCTTTGACACCAATAACTTCATTAGATATGAAGTATGTACACTAATGGAAGGTTTAAATCGAGAGATACAATCTTTAAGCATATTACTTGTCAAGTAAAATTGAATTAACATTTTCAAACTAGTGGAGGAATGTTGAATAGTTTGTAAATATTTAAGATCTCACATCAAGAAAGTATGGGAACTTAAAAGAGTTTATAAAGTCCATATTCTTTATTAACAAATAATTAAATAAAGTGAAATCTAAGAAAAATTGGGCCTTAGCCCTTTATATATAGTCAAAAGATGGGCACTTGGGCACTTGGGGTTATTTTATTAAATTATAATTTGGAAGGATATGTTTGAAAATCAGACATGACTATTGACAGTCAAAAGGTACCTCTATGAAATGGTGTCTTTTGGAGGGATACATCCCTTCAAATAGTGACTTTTCAAGCATTATAAATTCCTATGCAATGTCAAAATTCTATATCTAATTCTGAGGGAGTTTTGAGTTCTGTTGTATCATAGAGGATTTTAAACCCTTAAGGAAAGTGAGAACACGCCTGAACAATTCTTTTATTCTTCTGCTATTTAATATTTCTTAAAAATGGATATATAAGCTTAGAACTCGGAGACCCAGTAACAGTAACAGTAACTCCAGTAACCCTCATCACCCAAAATTATTTTATATAGTCCTAAGAGAAATGCATTCATCTATTCTGCATTCATAAGTCATAACCCTGATATGCATACCTGTAAGCTATTTGAGCAAAAAGAAAAGACACAATATCTGCAGTCTGCGCAGTGCATTCAAACCAACTCCAGGCTAACGTCAACGTCCAAGACAGAGATAATTGAAACAAATCCAAGAACTGGAACCCATGAAAATCCCAAAATTTAATCAAAAACCCATATTTTAAATGATAATAAAAATAGCTCTAAATTAAATTAACCAGTGATTTCTGATTACAAAACTGGAACTTGGAGTTGGGAGGCCGGAATCAGCATTGAATTAAAGCAACTGATGTGAATGGTGAACCAAAAAGAAAGAACAAAAATGAAAGTCACAACTCACAATAATTCTAAGAATGCACTTTTTTATTAACTTATACATTAAAAAATTAATTTTTTTAAACATTAATATTAAAACTTAAACCATATACTTGAACTATAAGATAATAAACACTAATATAAAAAAAAAAAAATTCTTCCTTTTTCAAACCCACTTCCACTCGTTTTAAAATTTAAACTTAAAACTTGCTAAAAATTTAATCTCTTAATTGGAAATGAGATCTTCCATGCAATAGCAATACTACATCGGCAGTACAACCAGGCAATATTAATAAAAGTGGCTGTGTATCAATTCACGGAGAGTCCTAGGAGTTTTCCTTTTTTATTCCAGAAATCATTAGCTTCTTGTCGTTTCAGGAAGCAGAGCATGTGTATTTCAAATTCTTGTTCTTGCTTTGGCAGATCTTTAAACAGCACTCTATCCACAGATCTCATTGAATGGTAGCTTTCATGCATAGATTCCTAAATATTCTTGCCTTCTAATAAATAAACTGCTGTTTCAGTACCTGCCAAGAGAGCCTTACTTTATCTAGCTCCAAAATAAATGAGAACATTTCCACTTTACCAATGTCCCAATATGGGGTGCCAAGGTCCAGGATATTCAAACCATATATTGATATATGGTCATTGGAGATGCTGAAAACCTGGATTCTCAATAACAATTGCAAATCCAAGAAAAAAAAATAGGGCAGTAGTTAAATCTTGGTATGATACCAACCAAATTTGGAGACCCAAATTCTCCATAGCAGTTTTTTTTTTTTTTTTGGTGCAAACTGGAAATTTCATAGATTAAACATAAAAATACATAAGCAGGCCCAAACGAGTTTGGTTAATTTAAGAAAGAGTCTTCATTAAGAAGATGATTACAGACATCTGGAATGGAGTTCCCACTAGAATCATCGAAGTTTGGATCATCCCCTATTCCATCAGACAACTTCTCGCCATGTTTGTTCTTCTTGGGAAGAGTGCTTGGACGGGATAACTTCGCGCCTCATCAAGCTTTGGCCAAAACATGGCGAAAACGAATTGCTTAATTTGGAGGCATTTACCCTTCTGATATTGAGAAGTTGTAAATTAGATAAATCTCTTAATTGTTGCTTCAATCGAGTTATCCATCTTAGAGTGCTGCATTGGCTTATCCATACCCAAAGTACTAGACTTAAGATCAGAAGCTTGTCCTTCAATTTCCTCATGCAAGAGACTTCGAACACCATTACCAATTTCAAGTTCTTCCCTTGCTGAGGAGCTTAATGTTTTTAGGTTTCTTCTAATGAACACCATAACAGTTCATATTCTAGGAGAATTGCCTGTGTGCTCAAATGGAATCAAACACCATCTAGTTCTGGCTAAATGGTTATCCTTGAAAAAAAATTTTTGCAGAGCTTAAACGCTACTAGTGGCATTTGTTCCATTCGGAACACACAATCCAAGAGCAAACATTAAATATCAACAAGAAAGGGAAGAATGCCTTTCAACAACTAATCCTACATTAAGTGCATTGAGATTCAACTTTGTTATGCTTCCATCATGATTACTTTTCACAATAACCTAGTACTAGAGTTTGATCAACATTAGAAATACAGCTTCTTACCACTGCCAAAGCAAGAAGCCTAAGAGTTATAAGTTTATAATTAACACACAGATATTGCTACCATTAAAACGGTTAGTGATTACAAACAAGCCATTGCAAAAGTAAATGAGATTGGTTGGTGCCTTGGTGGTGTCATCATATCAGTGGTTACCATCTTCAGAGTAGTCATGTCTATCGGTAGTAAGCCTGCTGATAGGCTGGTGCCATTGCATTGCAGTAACCCCCGTATGCAGGATAGTTCATTGGGGCACCAGGGTAAGCTCCACCGAAGGGAGGGGCTGCTTCTGGTGAGTAAGGATAGGAAGGGCTCATGTTTCCGTACACAGCAGGTGGGGCAGGTGGGGAGGGGTATGGTGGGACTGCAGCAGGGTATTGGGCATGGGAGGGAGACCTCACGTATGTGGGAGGTGAAGGAAAAGATGATACATATGCATTTGTTGAGCGGCCAGCCTTGGCTGGAGGCATAGGACCACCATTGCTTGCCCTTGTTCGCTTGTTAGCAGGGACTGCAGCAGGCCTTTTCTTTTCAGTCTTGGCTTTCTCTAGCTGCTCAAGGCGCTTCTTGAGGTTTTCTAGAGGAAACTTAGACTCTAGTTTGTACTCTTCAATGCACTTGATGACTGCTCGGAGTGCAGACTGCTCTTTGCGTACAGCAAGTTGCTGCTAAAATCAATAAGAAATAACACTTGTTAGCTGCAAATAAAGCCCCTATAATTAAGAAAAAAATTACTCAAAGAATAGAAACTAAAGCCACAGACACCATTCAATTAGAAACTACTTGGATAATCCTTCAAAATCACTACCAACCTATGAAAGAAATTTATAACTGATGGTAATTATTCACAAATCACTGGTACATGACAAATGCAGATTTCATGTCAGATTCATTTGGATTAACATGAAAAGATTTATAAAGCATAAGAATGATTAAAATGAGGACTCAAACTAGATAAATAAAAGACATACTGCAGCCCGGCCAGGGTTATTAGGATCCTCCAAAATAGAAGCCGCAGCCTTCTTTGCATCCCTCAAGAAAGCTTTCAGCAATGGAACTGGGGGGAATCTGTCCACTAGGCCAACTTCATAACTGAAATGGACCGCATCAAGCTGTTGTCCCCTACTGATCAATTCTTTAATCATGTCTGTTAAATAGAACAACTAAAAGCTCTTAGAAACCTAAGCACAGCTCTTCACTACATATAAAACAATTGTTCAAAGTCAACATTAGTGCTAAGAAACTTGCAGAAGCAGATGCAAACGTTCCAAGACAATTAAGAGATGTCCAAAAATTATTTGACATGTTTAAGCCTAAAACCTTAATGAAGCATTTAAGCACCCCCAATAAGTTAGTCACATTCAACTTAGCTAGCATAGCAACCCAAAATCAATCAGAGTCAAAACCAAGGTCACAAGAATGAAGCTGCTCTAGTAAGTCATCATATTCGAATCCATATTCTCTATCCCCATTTGCTATGAGTTAATTCTTTTCAAGATATAGCCCTAATCACCTAACTGGCATGGTATGGTAACATAATTCCGTAACTGAAAGAGATACAATCTCACTACGGCAATAGCATGGTATAAGAAGAAAAGATAAACCCAGAAAGGCTACAAACGTACCCGGCAGCTCATCACCTAGCCCCAGGGACAGCGCCAGCTTCGGCATCTGCTTCCTCCAGGCAGACCCAACAACCAGCTTCCTATATAGCTGCAAATCCTCCTTCTTTACAATCCCAAATGTCACTAAATGCTGCAAAAAAGTATGCACATCAGGAGTCTTCACATTCTCAATCCCTCCCCTCTCCTCAAGACTGGCTTTCCATGTATGTGCGATCTTCTTAGCCCTCTCCTTCACGCTAGGCGTCACAAGCAGCCTCGACTTCCCAATAAGAGGGTCCACCATCACCGGAATCAAGCTTTCCAGCATCAAAACACAAGCCCACCCTAGGTCATTCCCTCTCTCACTCCCTCTTTTATCCACCGGAAAGACCTCCGATATGGCTTCTAAGACAAACCTCGCCGGATCAACGCACTCTGCCAAAGCCTCCGGAATTTTCTCCCTCAAGACATCAATTTCCTTCTTCCTTGCCGTCACGAATTTCCAGAACTCCCTCGCCTCCATTTTCCAACACAAAGATTTCAGAAGCGTCAACATGCCGTCTCCATCATCCACCTCACCATCCGGATTTTCGTCCTCCTCCAGCGACTTCAAGGCAGCTTTCGCATGCTCCTCAACTCTATCGAGTGTGATCTCAACACTGCCGTTGATAGTCACCTCGCGTTTCTTCAGTGAGTCAAGAGAAGCCTTGGTTTCATGGTCCAGCGCCTGGATTTTCCTCTTCAAGGCCTCAGATTTCCTCATGAGGTCCTGCTCAAGGCAACTGAAGTGATCGGAGAGTTCCTTCCAGAGCAGAGTGCAGCTGGTCATGAGAGACGTCTGCCTCTGAAACTCATCGAAACTCGGCGAAGTCACCTCCGTCAACTCGCCGGGATCGGGGATCGACCCCATGTTTTCCGGTATCTGAAATTGCTCAAGTTCTTCCTACCGTCCAACGACTCAGTAACAGAATTGAAGAAGAAAGAAGAAAGAAGAAAGAGGAAAATGCAAACCCTAGAAATGGAGGAACGAGAAGAGATAAGAACTTGAGCAGACAATGACGTGGATCCATCGAAACTCGACAGGTGTCCAGTTAAGGAAAAAGATGGTCCTGCTGGGCTCCAAGATACGACGCGAGTGCGTAGGATAAGTGGTGCGCAAAAAAGAGAGGCACGCACTAACATGCGCTCAGGGGGTGAGGCCGGGCAGGATATGGGGCGATGACCTGGAATGAAGGGAGTGTTTGGTTGAGGTTAAAAGGTTAAAACGTCAATTTAATCCCTCTATTTTAGTAAAAGTCTCTTTTTAATCTTTCACTTTAAAAAAATCTCTTTTTAATTCATAAAGTTTGAAATTTGATCTTTTTTTTGGTTTTTTCGTTAAGTTTTGACATTAAATGATAGAAATTTCAAAAAAAAAAAATACTAAAAAGAAACTTTTTTTTAAAAGTAAAAGGATCTAATTAGAGTTATTTTTAGTCCCCTTTTAACCTTTTTTTATTTCTCTATTTTAAAATTTTCATCATCTAACATATTACGTATGTTAAAATTAACTAAAAAACTAAAAAAGGACTAAAAAAGACCAAATTTCAAACTTTAGAGATTAAAAAAAATTTAAAATAAAAGAACTAAAAAAAAATTTACCAAAGTAAAAGGACCAAAATGGGAATTTAAGGATGTAGCTTCTCAAATGTTTCAACTTTTTGATACTATTTATGTTTCATAAATTTAAATTTTCTTATTAAAAACTTACATTTTTAAATTTTCTTAATCTTAAAAAAATCTTAAATAATAAAAAAAATCAAAATTTTCAAATTTAAACATTTTATAAACTTTTTTTTACTCATTTTTTTCTATCTCTAAAAGTAACTTTCAAATTTTTTCTGTAATAAAAATTAAAATTTATTACTCATAAATAATAATAAAAAAAAAAACAAAAAAAAAAACTCCAACAATCCATCCAAATGTCCTTAACCAGGTTAAAAGGACAGGAGGGGAAGAGTGCTTTCTCGGAAACCGAAGTCAGATGAAGAAAAAAGCAAAACCGCAAACAGGGAAGAGTGGCGAAAAAGCTGGGAAAGGGTGGGTGTGAGAGTGGGCCAGGGCCACTGACCACCACATGGGAGGAGTCAGATAAAGTAAAGGTATTGCCGGTGAAAAATAAAACCGATAATATGATATGTCCACCCACTAATTTCTTAACCCACTCAATTTTTGTTTAATATTATTGTTAAAAATGGTCAATAATTAATAAAATAAATAATATTAATTATTTAATATATTAAAATTAATTTGTTAATTAATATTTTTTA